CAGGAGGAAAGGAATCTGCCACCCCAGGCCAACTCAGCACCAGGACAACCAGATGTTTCAGAGCAGTGAGGGACGTGCTCCCGCAAGACTGGGGTTTGCTAAGGCTTGGTGTCACCCACCCCTGAGAGCAGAGGGTGATCTTGGTGTGAGGGGAAGAGGCCCCAGTTAGCTCCACCACCACGGCCAGGGGGGCACGGGGGATCTCTCCATGCAGGGAACTGTGTCCTTGGAGGGACACTGCTGGCTGTCAGCCTCTGTGACCTCCCTCCCTCCCTGCACAGGGCTCACTCATCTTGTACAGACTGTTCTGGAAGGCAGAGGAAGCCAGTTCCCTTGATCAGCCAGCACTGAGCAGCCTCTCTCACCAACGCCTGGCAGCCAGAGGAGGAAAGGGAGGCCTCTCATCTTTCCAAAGCAGGAAGACCAGGGATTGCACCACATGGAAGAACAGCCCTGATGCAGCACACACACGTACACACGTGCTCCCAGACACACATCTCACACCCCTGGGACCCACGCCAGCATGTCCAGACCTTCAGCAGTAAGAGATACAAGACAGCACAGAGCAGTTCAAGATCTCCAGGGGATCTTTGGTCTTAGTTGATAGTTCTAGAAAAAAACCCCACCAACCTCTTTGGAGTCGGTTGTAGCACAGCTGTGTAAGATCTACTTGATATTTAGTGTTTGGCCACTGCCAGAGGGAAAACCATGGGCTGGGGGGTTACAGGAGAGGGGGAGGGATGGAAGTTCAGTGCTGCCTTTCCAGGTGTGTGCCTGTGCAGCTGGAATCAGTGTGTGGAGAGCAGGAAGAGGAAGGAGGGTTCCTGAGAGGGCCACTAATCCATCAGATGCTGCACCAACAACGAGGTGGAGGAGGCCACCTTGGCTGAGACAGAGCAGCTGACTGCACAGAAACGTGGCTATTTAAGAGCTCGAAACTTGAGTTGCAACAACTCCATGGTGGCAAAGTTCTCAGCTCCAGCACAGGTGGAGAGGAGGAGGTGAACACAGCTACACACAGTTTGGGCAACAGAGAGAGAGAAGCCCTGGAAAAGTGCTGTTACCAGCCCCTTTCCTCAGCAGCTTTAGCTACATGAGTCCCAGGCCTCTGATCAAACCTGCCCCCATCACTGTCACCTCTCTCCATGGGTCCACAGACCACAGAAGAAAGTATCAGAGGTGGGCAAGCACATCCTGCCCCATTGAGCTGCCAATACTTGATGCCTTCACTGATTGATCAACTAAGACAGATGCCCAGGGACAAGACAGGCAATATCCAGTCCATAATAGAACACTGCTACATCTGATGACAATGTGTTAGGAGATGGAAGCCAGAAGAAAAATGTTATGGGTCAAAGCAGGTGTTTCATGGCCAACAACCCTAAACCAGAGGCCACTAGGCAGCACAAAAGCAGAATCCAGCTTCTGAGACCAAGATCACTGCAGTGAAATTCATTCCATAAACCCTGCCCTAGGTTTGTGTTTTATTCAGGAATTTAACAACCCCCCTCTGCAAATGCAACGTCCCCCTGTACCAGATCATACAGCAGCTCTGGAAAAAAGAAATCACCAGCTTACACTGCTTACAGACAACTCAAAGACCCCTTTTGGGACTAAATTCCACTAAAGGCAAACCCCAGACTGCACTGCCATGCTGCTCGGGAGCGTGACGGGAGAAGGAGGAGGTGGTGGTGATGGTTTAGAGATGGTTGCTCCTGCCCCTGCCAGCTTGTCCTGCTCTGTGCATAGTGCGAAACAGTGCAGCCATTCATCAGAGAAAGTTCTGGACCAAGGAAACTAGGTTCCCTTTCAGCCAAACAATTAGAGGAAGGAGAGGCAGTTCTGTTTTAGCTGGGCCGGCATTGGACTTGCCCCTCTGAGCTGTCTTCATCATCTGAGCCTCCAGCCCCACCACTGGTCAGTCCTGTAATCCTGTACCCCATGTTCAGCAACATCACCTCCAGCGGGTCCGCGTTCATCCGGCGCTGGTTGGCTTGGGAAGCACCTTCCATGTCCACGACCACCCGGCCATTGAGTGTTTCACTCTGCAGGACAACAAGGGAGAGAGCTCAGCAAGGCAGGGCTAGGACCAGAGGGGCTGTTCCTGCCCCTCAGGGATGTGGACAGGCTGGATCAATGGGCCAAGGTCAGTGGCATGAGGTTTAACAAGGCCAAGTGCCAGGTCCTGCATTTTGGTCACAACAACCCCAGGCACCACCCCAGGAGGAGTGGCTGGAGAGCTGCCTGGCAGAAAAGGACCTGAGGGTGGCTGACACCCAGCTGAACGTGAGCCAGCAGGGTGCCAAGAAGGCCAACAGCATCCTGGCCTGCATCAGGAATATTGTGCCCAGCAGGAGTAGGGAAGTGATCATGGTGAGGCCACACCTCGAGTGCTGTGCTCAGTTCTGGGGGCCTCATGACAAGGACATCAAGGTGTCCCTGCCCATGCAGGGGGTTGGACTGGCTGACCTTTAAGGTCCCTTCCAACCCAAAGCAGTCTGGGATTCTGTGAGGTGCTGGAGTGAGTTCAGAGAAGGGCAACCAAGCTGGTGAAGGGGCTGGAGAAACAAGTCCTGTGAAGAGAGGCTGAGGGAATTGGGATTGTTAAGTTTGGAGAAGAGGAGGCTGAGGGGAGACCTAATTGCTCTCTACAACTGCCTGAAAGGAGGTTGCAGACAGGTGGGTGTTGGCCTCTTCTCCCAAGTAAATAAGGATAAGACCAGAGGATATGGCCTCAAGTTGTGCCAGGGGAGCTTTAGACTGGATATTGGGAAGAATTTATTTACCAGAAGAGCAGTCAGACACTGGAATGGGTTGCCCAGGGAGGTGGGGGAGGCACCATCCCTGCAGGTATTTAAAAACCATGTAGGTGAGGCACTTCATCAGGACATGCCCTGGGTGGTGGGTTGTATTTTTTATGGTGTGTTGGTGGGGTTTTTTTGGAGGTGCAGGGGTTGATGGTTGGACACAGTGATCTTAGAGGTAACAATTCTGTGATTCTGCCGCTACAACTTTTGAGAGATCCCAGCAGGAAAGACACACCATGACAAGACAGCCTTTTCCTGCAGCTCTTACCTCTGGCCTAGGGTTCCACAGTCGTACAACGGGGTCAATGCCACTGGTGGCCAGGAAGCAGTAACTGGGATGGGGCTGGAGACAATTCACAATGGACTCATCTCCCTGCAGCACTCTAACGAGGTTGGTGGTTTCTTTCTCCCAGATGAAGAAGGAGCCATCGTCTGACCCGCTGACTATGTACTGTGCATTGCTAGGGTGAGAGGAGGAGAGACTGGAGAGTACAGCTCAGAGCCACAACTAGTCTCTAGCAGCCATGAGAATTGCATTTCTAGGGTGAGAGGAGCAGAGACTGGAGAGAACAGCTCAGAGCCACAACTAGTCTCTAGCAGCCATGAGTATCTCAGCTGGCTTCTACCACCAGCAGGCTGCCACCCCTCATGCTTAGGGATCCAGATACAGCTTTCTGTGTTGGCTCTCTCCATCCCCAGGATTCATATTTTCAATCCCAAATGGCTTTTTTTTTTTTAAACACTAGCCCAACCAGGTGCTCTGTGGATCTGCTCCTGACCCAGCTGTCCATGCAGCCACACCAGGAGGAGAGTTTCTATCAGCTTTTTCAATCCCGCAAGCCAGCGTCAAGCGTCACTTCAGGAACAGTCACACGAGGCTTTATCCTGCTGCTGCTCACACTCCTCTCCTGCATCCCTAGCACCCTCTGCCAACGTACCTGCCAAAGAAATTGGCCTCTTTGATGTCTGTAGTAGTGTTACAGTGGCCACAGTATCGGAACTTGTAGTCGTAGCTGCGCTCCCTCAGCACCATCTCGTCCTCCGAGATGGAATCCTTGCGGCCCGGGGCTCGCAGCCGGATGGGGCCACCTCCTTTCTTGTCTTCAGCTGCAAAAACAACAGGTTTCCCTCATCACAAGCTGAGGAGGAGCACGTTCTCAGCAAACAAAGCATTCTAGGAGACCTTCCAACAGCTTTAGGGAAGAGTTATGGATAATTCCAGAAAAGAGCAGGGCTTAGAAGGAAGAGTTTCTTTCCAGATCATCACACTCTGGCTCAAGAGCAAACCAGGACCAGGCACAAGGGAAGAACAAGCTCAGGCCAGTTTTTGTGCATAGCAACAATCAACCTCAGAAGTTGCAGCTTTACTTCAGAGGGGTGGGGTGAAGGAGAAAATTCCTTGTCCAATCGTTAGATTTGAGTCTAACCTTGAAGAACCCCCCAGGGAACCCCAGGACTCACCGTTATCACTCTTGGAGAAAAGGGCTGCGTTGATGTCCCTGTCCAGGGCATCGCAGGCACTGCTGTGTGCTTGTTCTGGGAACTTCCCTTTAAAGTCATCCAGACATTCCAGAGCTTCTGCCACGTACTTGAGTTCAAAGAGACAACGGGCAAGGCGGAAGTGAGCCTTCAGGTGGCATGGATTCAAGGAGATGGCTTTCAAGCAGTCTCTTAAAGCATCATAATGGTCCCCATCCCTGAAGGAAAGGCAGGGGTGGATTAGCCAGCCCAAGCAGAAACAGGATGCATTTCCCACTGCTGTTTCCCAGCCCTCATTTCACTTCCAAGTGTGTTGGTTCCAGCTCTCTCCAGGTGAGCAGACACCCCCCAAGCTCAAGCACGAACAGCATTTGCTGTTTCCCAGGGGCACCATCTGACCAAGCCCAGCTCCTTGACTGCACCTGCCCTAGGCAGGCAGCCCTGCAACGTGACTGCACCAGGAAGCCCAGCGAGTCTTGACCTGCCATTTTAAATCCACCAGAGCAGAGCTCCCTGATCCAACACATTTCGGGAAGTCCTTTGAAGATGGAGGATGCACAAACCCTCTGGCCAAGCAGACACGAGGCCTCTCCTGCGAGGCGAGCCCTCCTGGCAGCTCGGCAGCTCAAGCGTGCCCCTGTGTGGAGGCACAGTGTGGCAGCACGGCTGCCCTGCCCACAAACACTTGGAGCCTCCAGGAGCTACAGAACCACC